CTTCATGATGTATGTGCCTAATTTCACGATTGTGACCATTCCTTTCTGCAGTTATAGCATTCTTTTGCTGTCAGGTTTATATTTATTACTATTACTATTAGATGCTGTTCTAAGCGTCAGTCAAAATGTTCTGAATAGATACACTTCGCTGATAATAAACTATATGATAAACTAATAATGAACAGCTTATCAAGGGTTTTCAACCTTGAGGCCTTCAATATACGCTGAAGAAATGTTAAGGTTGTCATCATGATCTGACTTCGAACTATTTAACTACTGGATTTCAGTTGTTTCTTGCTTATTCCCTGTGTTCTAAGATCGTTGCTGATCCTACAAAGTTACTGATGGAAACGCGAACGCTTACTTATTGGTTTTGCTTCTTTTTTTGTGAAGCTTCCTATCATGTGTTTATAAAGGATTGTTCATTCCCAATTTTGTCATTGCATATGTTTGCTATTTTTCTTATACCCCACCCCCACCACCATCACCACCACCACCAAGACACACACACACAGAATTGATGACAAGTGAACATCTTTGATAAAAAGATGATATGATCATTGTCTGCCAATGGTTCATCAATACCTTTATGTCTACAGTTAAGTTCTAAATTCTTGTCCATCCCCCGCTTTCCTTCTAACAGAAAGGAGAGTATCCGCCATTCATTTACTGTCAGGTAGATCTTATACTACTTGGCAGTCGATATAACAACAGCAAAAACTATCACTGTTTCAGTGTTATTTAGCCTGTCGACAGGTAAACGGTAAAATGCAATACAGTCCGTGAGTATGATACAATATCAAGGTGTATGTAAACACTCGTAGAACTTCTTTTCATTTGATGTCAAACAAGGTTTGACAAGTCTTCGACATTGAGAGCATCAAATTAAATATTGTTCTGTTCAAATCAACGACAAAAGAAAGGTCTATTCACACAAATGACAATCACAGTTCTACGATGTTAGCACACGTGAACGTTTCACCTGTGCATTGTGACGTATAACAGTGAAATATATCTCTACCGACGTCAAAAGCGACCAAATAATTTTGTCGGATAAAATAGGATTGAACAAATCTGTCTATTGAGGATATAAAAATTGCATTAGATATCAGAGGAAGTCGGTAAAATCAGGTTCCATTTTACGGGATGATGAAATTTTATCCGTTATTACAAAATGGCCTTTAAATCAGGTGTCGGTGTAGCCCTATTTCATATTTCAGGATATAGGGATAGGTGTGTTATTAAAATAATTTAGTACCATAGGCTCTCAGGATGTCCCAAAAGACAAGTGTAAGTAAAATCAGGTTTCCCTGTAGGCGGTCATAATTTTATGTCTGATATTACAATATATCCTTATCGAGTGTCGATGAAGTCATATTTCACTTACGATAAATATACTAGTCGTATATTTCAGTATCGGACTAGGTGTGTACTTTAAAACAAAATAGTCCCACGGGCTTATAGGAAGTCACAACATACAAGTATTGGCAAAATCAGGTTTCACTGTATTATATCTGGTTTTACCAAATGTTCTTAAATTCAGATCTCGGTATGGTTTGCTTTCACTGTCGATACATATACAGTGGTATATTTCGTTGCATGGGTGTAATTTCAAATATGAATGTAAGATAAACAAATGATTGCATCTTTAACATACGGTACTAGATACAATATGCCAAAATATATCACACTGCATCATATAGCTGTTTCTTCCTCATGCGACTTGTAACATAGTCCTACTAGATTTTTTAGCACTCTACAGAGACCGACATCAGAGACTGTTTATAAAGTACACGTAGTCAGATAACACTTTTCGTCTTAACGAGTACCTTTGATTAGACAGTAAGAATGACAGTGACGTGGGGCGATGCGTTAGATCTTCTGAAAGGTTTAATCTTAGATAATCCGGTTTTACAGGCGAGGATATTTTTGATTTTCTTTTACTGTTGAACCTGTCAGTAGTATCTTTACACGAGACACACGTGATGATCCCCAGTGACAAGGAACAATGTTACTTAAACAAAATTTAATAAGCCGAAAAGGCATAGCATTAGACAGGTGTCGACATAGTTTTACAGTTGTTTGGAATGTATCAATCACATTTCGTTGTTGATTTCATAGTAGAAGCGACATTCCTTTTCATTGACGCGACATGTCGATGTTCAATAGAAAATCAGTCCACACTGGTTGGGCGGATAAATAGATAGGTACAGATTTTTATTGTATCAAAATGATAAAATAAGTATTTATCATAGTTTTGATTAAGATTCAATATTTTCCAATTTTGTTATGAAACAAGAATGGATGGTTTGATAGAGTATAAACGAATTATAGATGCCTTAAGTATGTACATTAACAAGACCTTTCCACATGCCGACTCCATAACCAAAGAGGAATGTCACATTTCTAACAGTTTATTACTTCTTCAATGATATCTCACAATTATCTAATACATTCGGTACAAAAACTGTTCGTATTTTAATTAAATTCAGTAACATGCATTAGCCGGTTTGAATGCGAAGCGCAAACGCTTCATCTCTTATAATTAGTAATGCATACTTTACTATTGATAGCCTGGAATCGGTGATACCAAGAAAACCTCGGAGAGTAAGAAGGTAACCATGAGGTAATGATCTTGTCCTCATTCCCCCTACCTATCAATTCCCCTCCCTCACATTTCTCTGTCAATAATATGAATTTCACCCATTTTTGAACCAATATTTTCTGCTATGTATATTGTTGTCTCCTTGAAAAAGGCCACCCCAGATTGGTAATAAATTGAACGATTCTTTGAATCAATATACAATGAAATATGTTTAAATTTGTTCTTGATTGATTTACGGGTTCTTTCAGTACCCCACTGCTATTGTCTGTTCGGGTTCTCTCAATATCGTTAAAAAAAGGTTTAGATTTTTCAGAGAATATCCAGTACGGTTAGCATATTAAAAGTATATTCCTTATCATAAATAGTCTAGTGACGGCTGCTGTGTTCCACCACTTGGTAATCAACAGTAACGAAGGGAAGCAATAATTACCACGCTGTTTGTAGGACTTGGCTAGAATGTAGATACGAAATGGGACCTCAATATAACATAAATATGGCACATTTATAATTGGACGTGTTCTACAATAGTTACTTCCTAGTGATAAAGATATATAAATATTTACTTCTATTTATTTAATTTTCCACTAGGTAACTATACGTAAGCTTGAATATACTCCCTTAAAGCATTGATGAGTTTATTTTTATAAAGATATAGGTTTTATCATTTGATAGGCACCTGCAATGCTTATTTTGTCTTTGTGCAACCAGAATATTCCACTACTATGGCTTGCCTTCTGGAAACTTATTCCTATTCTCTAATTTCGTGTGGGGTGCATGTCTTTCATTCGGTTTTAGTGTTCCCAGCTTCTTGTGCATCATTTTCTGTCAAATTTGAGTTCTAATTTTGATTAAGTTTACTGTTTTTCTGTCTCCTTTTTTACTATAGAAACACTTCAGGTGTATTTCTTTTCTATCTTAGCTTACATATATAACAATGAATGCAGTGAACAAATATGCATGCAATGTACAAGTAGCTTAATATAGACCTCAGTTTTGGTTCGGTACTCTGGCCGCGACAATGGGCATTTTTATCCGTAGAGTTCGTAAGCTTACATGAAACGGAGTTTAAATAGACGACAGCTTTAATATACGAAAAGAACAATAGTAATCTACGAGATATCAAAAACAAGAGGAAAGACAATAGCCGATATATTATTGTCCGTTTTAACTTTTAGATGGTAATGAACAAGGTGACTAGCATTGTTGTACTTAACTTAGGCATGGAGGTGGTACGTGGTCTTTTCCGTTTGCTTGAGAGGACATAATTGTTATTCAATGAGAACTCCTTTTGTACCAAACGCAGAAGGCATTTCAATTTTGATATTTATAATTGCTGTGTTCTTTATATCAACTTTGTATTGTTTCCTATTTTCAGATTTAAAAGGACGTGAGTATCGTTTTATGTTCTCTTCTTAATCATATTTGCTATGTAAAGGAAAGTTCGAGTATAAATCAGTTTGAATATAAATCAATACATACAAGTTACTCGATTAAATTGTTTTCTTGTTATCATAGACAATGAATTATTGCTTTGAGCTAAAATTTTAGGAAATGTGTCTTCTCAATTACCGTATCGAATATAAGAATTAACTAAAATTAAGTAGTTTACAGTATAACTCCAAAACTAAAGCCAGTCGTCTTGTAACATAAGTGAAAACTCCAATGTGTAAGAAAATTCAACAACTCATTTTCGTGATTTTTTAAAATATTTATTGATGTTCAGTGAAACCTAAACAACAGGGTAACATATCCGTAACGTATAATATAAACTGTAAACCGGATTATTTTCGTTCCGCAAAAAATATTCATCCTTACAGACGAACATTTCCCGTTTTACAGTAAAATTAAATCACAGTGGTGTATGGACATTCCACCTTTATGGGGAATGTATTACAATAAATATATACTCGATATAAAAACATAGTAAACATTATCACATAGCATGCAAATTTCTAGACAATTGAAAAAAATATCAGGGAATAAGCCACTAGTAGATGACTGAGATTACGTATTTATTCCACAACAAAAATCTTTTAATAAAATATATTGGAAATTCTTATCTCTTTCTTTTTATCGTCTAGCATATTTTGCTTTACGTAATCAATTTCAAAATAAGCTAATGGCTAATTCCATATCAATTTCACTTTTAAGAAGAATATTGTGTGTGCATTGTGTACAAAGTAGGTTTTGCTAAAAACTTTTTTTCACAATATCCATAAAATGAAGTTCTATAAACAAGCTCATTTATCAGTACATTTCGTTCATTCTCTGAATATAAATAGAATAGATCTAATATCTATATTTATTTAGCTTATAGATAAATAAATTCTAGATCATCTGTACTTTGGTTTTCAGTTTTAATTATTTCAAAAATATCACCGATATAAAAAAAAATTCAATGTATTTAAGCTTACACATTTCATACAACAAAAGCCTACAGGTCAGGTATACCAAAATATACATCAGGACCAAGTCGAAAAATTAAAAACAATTAGGCTCTGATGCTTAATATTTAATATAACCATCATACACATTAAACATTGTGATACATTCTTATAGAACAAGTATCGTCCTCATCAAATCTACATAGCAGCTTTACAAGAAGCAGTTAACATTAATTGATAATATTGTGTGCTCCATACTTAAGATAACTGTCAGCAGTGATGTAATAACATGGTAATATTCGTATATCAACTTTTAAGAAAAGATTTGCAAAATTTAGTTTTGCAATGTATGCAAACTTGGTACAACAAGAAAATAAATATCCCTTTTAATGAATCATAAAAGATGGACAGATTCAAAAGGAAAACGTTTCAAGAGGGAAAAAACTTTCTCAGTATTGCCATTCCATGTGGCTTTCTTGGTACGAAAGTTGCGTGAAAAAAACCTGGTGTAAGGTTCCCAATTTTCACTTAATATTGTAAGAAATAAAACAGTTCCAGAACTTAATATTTCACAATCACTTGATGGACCACTTATTCCACTAGATATAACATATTCTAGACATACTAGACAAAAATGGACGGAATCTTAATATAATAAAACAAATGCCTTATAGTGTTATGTCACTGGCACGACCTTGACCTGAATGGTATTTTTCGGATACTGATAAACTGTCGCATTGTTTCTACAAAAGCTAGGAAGCTTCTACGGCATCAGCCTTCTTGCGGTATATAAATGTTTTGTTCTTTGCCGCTAACTCTGCCTCTAATCTCCTGGCTTCTTCCTCGGCTGCTTTCTGTTGAATATCCTCAACTTCTACTAAAAACTGAAAGACAAGAACATTTTAAATAAAAATTATGTATATATATTCTTGCACGTTTTGAAAAAAAAACCACTTTCATTTAAAGATTATAGAGTAGATTCTAAACATGTATAATGGTATGAAATTCAGCTGCTTCGAAATGTATTCTACGATGCACGCTAGTGACTTGAGCTGTTAAACAATGGCAAACCCAAGGAACCAAACCTTCATCTTGGAGAATATTTTTGTAAGCAACTGGGTTTTATAGAATTTAAAATATCAAGAATGCATATAAATCATGAAAAGGACAGATGACGGACGTTGCGCCATTGCAAATATATCTGTCAACATGTCTAAGTCTGGAATCAGGGACAGAGTTAATTCGGGCTAACCACACATCTATCTGTCAAAATGTCTAAGTCTGGTGTCAGGGCCAGAGTTAACTCGGGCTAACCACACATATATCTGTCAAAATGTTTAAGTCTGGTGTCAGGGCCAGAGTTAACTCGGGCTAACCACACATCTATCTGTCAAAATGTCTAAGTCTGGTGTCAGGGCCAAAGAAAACTCAGGCTAGATTTTGTCCTTACAGATAATTTAGCCTAAAGTTTAAAAAAAAAATATTCGGGTATTGTGTATTTTTTATGGGAATATATCCTAAAAATGTAAAAAGTATCTCGGAGTGGAAAGTGACGAAAGGGCAAGGTTTGTGTCCATGATGACCATTAAAGTCCTATCAGCTAGGGAGATGATTCTGTTATGTGGTATAAATGTTGCACCAGCTATATGTCTGGTAAGCCAGAATTTCCTCTGGCCCCTACACCATACTTGGACATGTTGACAGATAAATCTGTTGGTTCCAAATGCATTTTGAACAGGCTGTTTACCACATGGTTCATATTTTGCAGGAATGAGCATGTTTTTCTATGGTTACCATTTCAGACAAGTACCTTAACCCTTTCACCACTGTAGACCACAATGGACTCATCTAGATAAATGCATGGTAGAGTCTACTAAAGTTGCATAGGGGTGAAAGGGTTAATGTCAACTAAAAACGATTCAGCTTGATCAGACTTCACACTAATTCTGTATATCTTGTTGAACAAGTGAACAGGTTTTTCATAACGTTAACCTAAACACTTTGAAACGTCGTAAGCTTCAAAGAAATAAACATGTAAAGGGAATTAATTACTCGGAGTCTGTGTCACACACCCCTACCGCCATCCTCGAAATCCCAGGGGTAACATTAACTCTCTGCTTGTAGGTGAGCATAACCCCTAGAAGTTTGATGATTCTACATATCAGTGACAAACCAAAGTTCAGTCATTCAATTACCCCAGCTTTATAAAATTTCAGGAAATTGTTATGATAAATGTTGTGGATACAAAGGAGTAAATGTTTTTAATTCATGTTTGCAAAAGTCTAGTGTCTTCCGAAACAGTTTTAAGGCACTTCAATGTGAGTTCATCTAGTTTTCACCGTTCATTACGACTATAACTCTTCCCCATGAAATTTAAAAAAAAAACTGGTTACATAACAGAATATTATTCAGAATGTTTTGATTTTGAAAATTGAATTATTTTTCAAAAATATTGTGGTGTCATCTTGTAACATTTTAGACAGACATTTTTTTAGTTCAAATTTCATCACCCTACTTCTCATGTTATTTAAATGAATTGCATATCAATATCAACTTGAGGTTTGTGAGTGAAATGAGTTCAGTGTCTTTGGTAGGTAAGATTATTTATTTTATTTTAGTGTAGCAATGGAAAACTAAACCAACAAAACAGCTATTCATTTTCATTTTGAAGATGTTTTCACAATCGTGGTATATTTTATTTTTTCTAAATTCTTAATTTTGAAAAAGTTCTTAATGTCAAAACATATTTTTCATGAAAGGGTTTTACAGCAAAAGCAAATCTTCAATTAAACAGCAAACAACATTTTAAATTTCATCGTAAGATAAATTTCATGAACAATCGTAAATAATGCTGATCATCATAGGGTAACACTGTGAAATCATTAATTTTCGTGTGGTTTTTATTACATTGATTTCGTGGGTAATTTCCCTCCTTGAATTGTCTGATATTAAGGAATTCTCCGTTCCCGTAATCCACGAATTCATGCACCAAAGTAATGGTATTTTTTTGCGAAACCACAAATTTAGGCTGCACGAAAATATCTGATTTCACAGTAAATAAATCCCATAAATAACTGAAAAAATCTCAAAATAGATCTAACAAACATGAAAATAACACTTGAATTCAACATTTCACCAACCAAGATCTAGAAAACTCCTTTAAGGATCTGAAAAGCATGGATTTGAGGATGACCTTAAATCATTTTAAAACTAATAATGGAAGATAAAGGGAGGTAAGTTAAATTAAAATGAATAATGTTGAAAACTTGAGTTAGATATAATTTCTTCCAAACCATTATTGTCATATTTTTAATCTATTTCGGTACAATTGCACAATTCATTTGACTTTATGTAAGATTTGAATTTCATGTGAAAATTCCCTTTTTTTATTAAATAGATTCAAAACAAAAAAGTTGAACAACCTAGCTTCAGATTCTACAAAACAAGAAACATAATACAATTTTATGTTCACCAAATGTTTTTTGTGTTAAAACCATCTTACTATCTGCTTGTTAATATGTAAATATGAGTTGTTGGGTTTCATTGCACCTCTGTAAACCTTAAAGATAATTACAAAGTTGTAGTGTCAAGGCCCACTTGTATAAAACATCTCAACTCTTGAGATTTCCTCAAGTCTAAGACTTCCCATAGACAATACATTGCTTGAGATTTTCCTTAACTTCGAGATGTTTTATACAAGTGGGCCCTGATGTATTAAACAGAAGTAAAATGTATCACAAGATTATCTCCTGGATTACATCTTGGTGAAACAGGCAAGGTCTATATAGATAAGTATTAAAGTAAAACCTGTCTAATCTGACCACTGATTATTCTGACTACTTGTCTAATATGACCCCTGATTATTATGACTACCTGTCTAATATGACCCCTGATTAATTTGACTACCTGTCTAATCCAACATAATGTTACGATTCAAATTTCCGATAAAAGTACCAAGTATGACCTGAGTATTCTATTATTCTCTCTAATATGACCGATATAGTGTGTCCCACATGATGTCAGATAACACAGGTTCCACTGCATTTCTATAAACCCATACATGTTACAGAGAAGGGAAAGATGAATTTCTAAACCGGCTAAGTTAAACAATATCACCAACATACCTCTGGTTTACGGTCATCTCTCCTGTTCATAAATTCTGTAAACGCCTTTGCTCCATGTGAAATTGATATTTCTTGATTCTGTCAGGTTAAAAACACCATACATTATATATAATTTATCTAACTAAAAAATATTGACTTTGAAAATGTTGTGTTCAGCAAGTACTGTATCACATCTAAAAAACAGCTTCATTATTTTCAGACATTTTTGCCTAACAATCAACCAATTATGCCATAATAAACCTTATAACACCCCATCCCATATAAGTGCCCCCTATCTTTATTCTGGTCCAATAATGTCATCCTTTATTCATAATTTACCAACATATATAAAGACACGTCTTTTATGGCTGTTTTTCTTATTTGAGAAATAGGGAATGTTCTGCAATCATTTTAATTTTCATAAATTGTTAAATGCCCAGGGGATTCATAGATAGTATTAATTCCTTGAAATGCCTTTGAAATATGTATGCATTATACATATGATTATTTATAAAGAAGTAGGGTTGGTATAATAATTCAACTACTATTCTTGACACTGCATTGCAATATTCTTCTTTTTTTTTTTTCGATTTTGTTTTCTCTCCAGTAAACCGCTCTAATGATTCCTAATCCAAGCTATGAGTCGGAAACCAATGTGTAGGCCATTTCCCCCTTAAATACAGTAAAAAGGCCAACACATCTGTTAATTGAAAATATGACCATTACCAATTCTTTGCTCCTCTTCTTGGCTTCAGACATTTCCATGTCTTTAATCTCTTTCGGGTCCATAAGGGGGTCGACAAATTTCCTCATTTTCCAAGTTTTAGGATCTAAATACCAAGATCCATACTTGAATTTTACCCAACTTGGTTCATATTTTCCTGTGTAGCTCTGTAAAAATAGATGAACATCTTTTTTCATTTTCATTATATATTCTGGGCAGTTTTCCCTACCACTATAATTTTTTGCACATTTGCAATATTTTTCAATTCAAGCACATATTGATTTTGTGCTACAGTTGCTGTTAACTGCTAAACTTTTGCCAAGTCAAACTTGTGCCCTTCACTGTTAAATCCATATTTGCCAGCATTAACATATCCTGCACATGTAATGAGTACAGTATGCTGGGAATAAATATTTGCTGTCAAGATGATTTTGACCATATCCAGAGGTGAAAAAAATCGAAAGTTAAACTGTGGTGAAAAATTCTTGGTATACAGTATTTTGCATAACAGAACACAGCGACTTATTATTTTAGCAGTAGCCATAATTTAGCACTTTCAAGTTAATGCAAAAGTGAAGAAAAATCGCTTACTGCTAAAATAAGTAGGCTTTCAATAGATTTTTAATTCCTATTTTTCTCAATGTTAAGTCAGTTTATTTCCCCCCGAAGATCTGTTTCTTTTTCATATGCAATTCCTGAAATAAGTATCAGAACTTTTCAGTTTAGTGTTACCTGGTAATGAATTGTCTCAACAAATCTTTAACTCACTGACCCCTGAAGTTTCATAATGAACTATTCCAACCTTTGAAGTGGAAGGGTTCAAATTCGTCTTCAGGGGTGAATGAGTGAATGAAAGTGAATTTTTGTGACTAATTTCTAAAGTCCTCTGGTGTTTTATTATAAATTTAGTGATAATAAAACTTAATGCATAATTTCAATAGTTTTACCGAGACCACTTCAACTTCTTGACAAACAAACAAAAATGAAAATTTAAAGATAAATCACCTACCCAGTTTTCTTTCTTTATCTCTGGGGGTGGTATATTTTTGTTAGTCTGTTGTGTCTGTGCTCCCGGAGCTGTGCTGCGCAGGTCCTGAGGAACGTTGGTAAGCTCTACGACGTGTATGGGCACGGATAGGGCGGGCTTGGTCTCGTAACCACTTGCAAACAAACTTGTGATAGTCGACTCCTCAATATTATTTTCCTCCCCTCCAAGGCTGGATACCCAGTCACAAAACTCTTTGGTTACTTTTTCTATGTGCTCACCCTGTAATTGGTTGCATCATAGTATGGTTTCTTGTCAAGATATTAAAGGTTTCTTGATGAGAGAATTTTACAAAATGAACAGTCAAAGTATCAAAGGATGTATGCTACCTTTCTGTCAAAGGCATCTTCCATCCGAAATAGTTCTACACTAAACAAAACCTGTATAACATCTGATATAAATGATTACTTGGGATTGATTATTTAAGATTCCTCATACCACTGTCAAAAACTGAAACAAAGTATTGGAAACTAAAAAAAATCTGGCATGACAATAGCTTTGATAATTTATTTCTGAAAAGAAAACCATACCTTGCAGGCGTTTTACGAAAAAAATAATTAAGATGAAATAATCAAAAACTATTATCTACAATATAGTGTTCTGAATGTATAACAAGTTAGCAGGATTCCACCGGGATTCCAACCCAGGCCTTCTCACTGTTATACTGTTGGTCTAACCGACTACTGAGATACCTAGTCAACGGAAGTGACCAGACCTTACTATCCTACAGTGATATCCAAACGGAAGTTTAGGGGAGGTTACTGTGTATATATAAACTACAGTGCAGTGGAACAGGGATCCTTAACTGACAAAACTCAAATAATCCCTGGTTATCAAACAAAAAGAATGAAGGGAGATAACTCTAATAATAAAATTCACAGGTAAAGTAATACCTCCATCATAAATATCTTGATATAGTGGTAATGTTCTCTCATGCTCTCATTATATGCCTTTGAAGTTTTGATGCATCTCAAAACTGCACCAATAGATATCTTTAAAGCAGATGAAGTAAATCACCTTAATCCAAGAAGGAATGTAATAACTGAAAATGAGTGAAAGGACTGGCAACTGAAACTAGAATGAGAACACCTACTCTAGAAGGGAATGACAGAACTGAAACAACACTTACTCTAGAAGGTGATCCTTGTCCACGATCAGAAGATTTCTTCTTGTCTTTCTTCTCTTTTTCTTCCTTACGAGGAAGCCATCGGTAGGGATTCCTAACCACCGTCTCATCCGTCCTGTCAGTTCAAATGAAGTTTTTGTTAAGAAGGCTCACCTGTACATATGGGAGAAACATCCTCATCCCTGAGATCAAAACCCTTGCCTTGATAAAAGTATCTTTGATCTCATTGTATTGAAATTACAGAAATCAGTTACTGCAAAACTGTTGCCTGGTTAATCCCGAAATTAATTCCAAGCAAAAATTTGTTCATTATCAGTTTTTTTGCAATATAATAATTAAGCTCAGCATAAATTGTTGAACTTATAGAGAAAACAAAGTTCATTTTGTATCTTTATTTACGGATTTTCAAATGTTTGTAAAATATATGTTTACCCCACTTTTCCTTTTATGAAACAGTCTAGCCAGAATCAGTGAAGGGGAAAAGTAGGTCACAGTGACCTACATTTGTTAAATTGGTATAAATGATGTAGAGCAATTTACAAACTCTTATGGACTGATGGGTGACCAATGGATATGGAAAACACCTACAATAATCTATAGCAAGTGTTAACAACAATTATGAAACAATTTATTTCCATTAATATTAATCACTATTGTTGGCCCAGATGTAAACATGCAGGGGCTCTTGTTGTGGGAAGAAACCAGAATACCCTGAGGAAAAACCCACGGGCAGACGATCCCATACAATTTCACATCCCATCGGGGAATTAAACCAGGGCCATCTTGGTTAGAGGCAAGTGCCCAACCCGACCACCCCTAAGTGTTTAACTCATTCACCCCTAAGACACATTTGAAATCTTACAACTTAATAGTTCATTATGAAATTTCAGGGGTGAATGAGTTAAAGGTGGAAGATTAACACTAGTTACTGGTAAAAAAATCAATTCTAATCGTTTCAAGAATCCTAACTTTGAGTTTCACAGCAACACATACATGTAGATTTTATTTTCAAATCTCATGTTTGATTCTCTGGAAATAAGTGTTCAATATATTGTAAACACGGGATCTGCTAACAATGTTATTTTTTATATGAATTCTATAAAATAATAAGAAATCTGAAATTAAGATACAAATTGCTTTATAATGAATACATTCCACACATTTATTGTTAGCGGTGCTACTGAAAAACACTGAATTTCTTTGAAATATTTATTTTTACGAACAGCTACAGTACTTTATACATATCTGACTTGAACAACAACATGTGTCCTGTGTTTGTGCCTTTAAATTATCAGAAAGATATTTAATTTTGTGACTGACTCTACACAAAACAATGTAAACACACATATTTGTAGATATTTCAATATAAAGCAATTGAAATTCAGTGCAAAAATTTATGGTATTTTTGAAATATGTGAATTTGCGATTGTATTTTACAGTAAGACTACATGAAACTAGAACTGTTGCCAGAATGCAGACTTTATACACCGGCTTGCACCAAGAAATATGGCAAAAGTTCTTTCGAGAATGTTTTTTAAACAAAGGGGTATAACTCCGTAACATTGGAGGTAACAGTAACATGTATACTTCATTCTCATCCCCCTGATGTAATGATTCTGTGCACAAGTATCATTTGAACTGGTGCTGTACGTTAAGAGGAATAGTGCAAACAACAGTTTTAAATGTAGGGAAATAACATTAAAAATAGGGGAGGTTACTTCAATTTATATACTTTATTGACATTTCCTTGATGAAAGGGTTTGGTATAACTTCAAACAAAACAAGGACTCTATATTTACCAAATACAATTTAAATCAGTGCAGTACTTTGGGAGGAATAGTGCAAACAATGTTTTTTAACAAAGGGGCATAACTCTATGAAAAGGGTAGGGGACTTAAATTTATATACTTTATTAACATTTTCAGGATGTAAAGGTTTTGTGTAATATCCCACAATGTGGGGGTTTTGCATACCAAATACCATTTAAATCAGTGCAGTCCTTTGGGAACAAAGGAATATAACCCTATTAATAGGGGAGGTTACTCCAATTTATATAATTCATTAACATTGCCATGATGTAAGTGTCCTGTGTGATATCCCACAGCGTAAGGGTTCTGTATACCAAGTATAATCTTAAGTACTGCAGTACTTTTGGAGGAGAAGTGCAAACAGTGTGTTTAAACAAGAAGGCATAACTCCATAAATGGTTTCCAATATGTCTGTGTTGTCAAATTTTTAACTCATTCAACCCTGAAATTTCATAATGAACTATTCCAACCTTTGAATTGGAAGAGTTCAAATGTGTCTTCAGGGGTGAATGAGTTAAAATAACACTGATAAGGTGACATAACAACCACACATATATGAATCACTTTACAAGTGTAGTATTTCACTATGATGGTGACATCTTATAAAAAAAATAACAAGTTACAACAATAAGAAAACAACAACATTAAATATATATCTATATATATTCATCTTCATTGTTTTCATCAATTGCAGTGTAGGTATTTTGATGTGTTTGTTCCAACATCAAGTAGAATTTAATTTGACCTTTCGTGCGACAATACTGGACAATATGTATGAGTGGCTTGACCACTGCTGTGACGTCTCACCTCATCTTGACTTTTCGGTACCTAAGTATAGGTTTAGGCCTGCGCTTAAGTTTAAGCACAGGTGGGGCATGACTTCATTGAGAAACAAGAAATCAATCACTTTTTAACCATCGTATGCAAAGTCATAAAAAAATAGAATTCTTGTTCAATAATGATACCAATCAAAAAAGATTGAAAAATTCATCTTTAATTTTCATTCATTAAGCTTTAATGAAACATTCATCTGATAAACTTTTTGATAAATTACCTGAAATGTATCTATATGTTTCAGATTCTGCAAGTGAATTCCAATTCTGATAAACAGCTATACAAATCTTAAACTGATTTTCAGTTCATATTTCTTAAATTGACTCTCTTACTTTAACTGTCAGATATAACACTGGTTTCCAGATCCCAAATACACCCTCAAAGTCAGATTTGAACCTTACCATATCAATAACTGGGCAAGTCCAGTTTAGATATGTAGGGGTTGATGAGTTAATGACAAAATCCTCATTTTTCCCATCAAAATTTCTAGTTTGTTTTTGGATACTTACTCGGGTGCTTTGTCAAGATCAGCCTCCGAAATTTTATCTCCATCCTCATCCGTCTTGGAGAAGGTGTCTTCCTCCTCATCAAAGTCCTCCAACGAACCAACTTCTGAGTCTAGGTTCATCTCAGGATCGAGGATGTCCACAATATCCTCAAAAAGCTGGGACACAAGAAATATTTGTAAACATTTTAGGGTCAACTTTCAATAAGTTAATCCTCCTATATATTGTAAAGTTTACATATGAAATAATGGTTTAAGTTTTTTGAAAGAAGAGCGTTTGAATTACTGGTAGTACTGTAACTTGCTTAATTTTTACGAACAATTATTATCATCATCTAATTTTTTGGTATGTTTAACTCGCAAATAAAAACAATGGCCAAATATACAACAAATCTGCTTGTGCCAATATTCCATTAAGAGACCACCTGTGTTAAGAAACCACTTTTAATATTCCCAATTATGATTTCATTGTGAATTAAACCTGTTTTAAAACACCACATGTGTAACCCTTTCACCAATGTAGACCATCAGGACTCATCCAGATCAATGCATGGTAGAGTCTACTAAAGTTACATAGGGGTGAAAGGGTTAAGAGACCACTTTACATATTGCCCTATAATATATATTGAGTTTATTGTGAAATGAACCTGTTTTAAGAGACCACTTGTGTAAAGAGACCACTTTTTTGAACTTCTGAAGGGTGGTCTCTTAATAAAGGTTTGACTGTACTTTCATGTGTCAAAATATATATTTGTGATATATATATATTTTATTTATCTATTAATACTCTTTGCAAATTGAAACAAAAATAAAAACAACATGGCAAATTATAGCTAATTTAAGGAAATCCAGCGTTTTACCATCAGGCTAGGGATGGAGCAGACAATTGTGACAGACATCTGATCAAGGATCAGACCTTGAGGCATACATTGTACTGTGAAGTTCTACCAGTTTCGGTTTAGCTTTTAAGCTATAGTTATTACAAAGATAGATGTAGTATATCCCAAGTTTGCAACTTGTTAGCTATCACCAAATAACAACTACTAAAGACTAAATTACTTTAGATAACTATTCTGGATCTAACACTGCAAAAAAATAAAGCCAATAAAAATAATCTTGTATTTCTGTTGACCCTCCCTACCCTAGTTTTTGTGCCTACCCTAAACATTTTATTGGCATTTATAGTGATAGGCACTATTACACTTAATTACAGGCAGAAATCCCACTCCATATAAAGAAGTCATTTTTTGGGGCCTTAACACAACTTTAAATAAAACTCATTGCTGCAAAGTGTATAGAAGTAGAATCCCAAACAGGAGCAAGGTTAATGCTGAGTGAGTGATAAATTAAAGAGGGTCCTTCATAAAAGTTTTAATAGGAAGAATGAAAAATACTCTGGTCCTTCTGCAATTTTATTCTTCCAAATGATGAAGAGACATATGTAAACTCTGAGGGTTTATAAATAAATAATGTTCATATCATATATATAATGAAAGAGATATTTTGAAAATATCTTTGTTCTCCTGCATTTCTCTTTATTTATTTACTTCAATGTGATTGAGACAGCATCAATGTGAAAACTGGCTAAAAAAAACAGTGTTTGTGAGTACCTCTGGGTTAACACTCTCCTCCAGGTGTGGGTACAGAGCCAGGGGGTGCTGAGTTAAGCCATACTCAATTTCATCAATATGATCCCTGCGCTGCTGTTGTAAGGGAGTTAGCCTTGAGTAACAGATTTGATGTTTACTGAACCGGTTCCTCACCGCTGGTTGTTTGACTACCCTGGTGTTTTCACTACTGTGCTTAACATTAGGCCCGGGTCCTTTGCTTCCCTGAAAATAAAAAAAGAAGCCAAAGTGATATACGCAATATAATCACAATTGAGGGCAGATGTCTATATATAGTTACAATCAAAGAAGTACACTAAAACCTTGCTCATTATTATAACGTCACTTGTTTTTATATTCCACCTCGCTTGCCATCAATGTGCCATCGTAGGAGCGGAAAATACACGGCCAGACCAAGGTTTGAACCTGGGACCCTCCAAACTCTAGACAGATGATCTGTACCAATTGAGCTACCCGGTCACGATGATCAACCCAGTCTAGCTCTGCTTTACTCCTCCCTCCTTTAACAAAGTCATCAACCGTAAAGACACATGAGACCATATACCATCTTTGGTGGGTATAAATATGGTAGGAGCAGAAAAATGTACGACAAGACTGGGATTTGAACCTTGGACCCACTGCACTCTAAACTGAAGCTCTACCAATTGAGCTACCTGGTCGCTAATGATAGACAAAGTCTAGTTCCGCTACAAATGTATCATGTTTCTTTTCACCTATTTTTTTTTTTTTTAGATATTCCTTACATATCTTGCTCAATACATCACCAAACCACAAAAACATCAAAATTTCAAAATACAGCAGAAATTGACAATTGGATTTATGCACCTGTTAGAAATGTTGTGTTTTTTTCCTATGGGTAGCTTAGTTTAAAAGCTGCCATTTAATTTGAGCCCTTTTTTATAAAGCAGACATATACCATACCTTGATGAAGACATCTCCTTGAACTGGCGGTGGCAAACCATCTCTAAAATCATCTAAACCGTCTTTCAGAAACAACCAATCTTTTCCCATCAAACATTTTGAAGTATCTGCTGGTTTCAAAGACTTGATGAGTTTTGTCTGTAATCTTTCTTTATACCTGAATCAGAAACAATACAAAAATAACAATGAAATGTGACAAGAATGTCAATACTACAGAACAATATCATAAAAACAGAAATGATGAGCAACAACACCACTGAATCCGGTACAATATGTAATGTTTGATTTACATCCTATATGCTGACATGTTTCAGCCAAAGGGAGGCCATCTTCAGAGCACAGTTACATGATGTTTGCAACAATGGTTCAATGACAGTATAGGTCATGTGACTAGAACAATAAAGAATAACTGTGACATCATCAAGTTGCTAAGAGTTACAGCCTGAAAGGGTGAAAAGGTTTAGCCATTTTTGATTGGTGCATAATATAATAAGTGCTAAATAATTTCAGTATGATGCACTAAAAGATTATATAAAAGTATCATAGTAAATGTGAATGTATGAGTTGTAGTATTACAGTATTTACAATGTAAGAGATGATTAAAGGAAAAGAAATAAATGATAGTAAACATAAAATTAAATATATCAAGAGTGCTCAAAAAAGCAAAAGTCTAAGGTTATTGTTCTGTCTCTTTAAGGAATGGAAATTATAATAGAAAGAATATTAAGCATGATTAAATTGTCAGAACTGTTATAAATAGAGCATAGAGTCAATTAGCGTGTGAGCACATATATGCATATCTAATCTCATTTCATATGACTTCTATACATTTATTCAGATGAAGCTACTGGCTTCTTCCTGCTGCCATTTTAAAACTGATGCCAGTTGTTCTTACATGTTAATGCAAGTAAGCCATTAGACTATACTCGGCTAATCACCTGAATCAAGGTATAGATTAGTCTTAAATAGGCCAAACAATAAGGACAGACAAACATTGAAGTTAAAGTTTTCCTTAAAAAAATATGCATTTCAGTAAGAGCGATTATGTGAAAATAATCCTGATAGTTCTCTCAAGGCGACAAGCACTATTTTGATACAAGATTCTGCTGGATGTTAAGGAAGATCATCCGAATAGCTTGCCATCAGTGTCCAGAGTTAATACTATAATCTGTGTACATTGTAAGCAATGAATATGGCAGGATGGGTTGGGGTATGTGTCATTATAACGTGGAATAATTTGAACCAACTCGGACGAGACCACAACGACATCATTTTAAATGAGCTCTCCCTTCCTTGCCGATTGATACATCAATAATATTCATGGAATATTTTGATCCTTGCGAACCACCATTATTTCATTTGAAGTATATAATTACAAGTGAATTAATGTCTCTGTATTTATTTACCATGGATGTAGTCGAACTTTCTTGTCAGTTAGCGTATTAACAAGGGCTAAATCGTATTTCCTCTCTGCCATTTTCGCTTCGACTCAACCAACCTCCATTTGTTTACACCAAATAACACAATATACCGGATACGCATAAGAGAGTCATACAAATCCTTACTTAATACAGGCTATGCAAAACAAATAAATTGTAAAATACCAAATGAATCGTAAAGACATAATAAATGTAATTTAAAAGACTATTTTATTAAAAATTCAGAAATTAACCTTTAAATCATAAAAGTTCATAACAGAAAATAGTTCTCTACGCGTACGTCTCCTTAGTTACGTGACTCTTCAAATGGAGGTGCGAATGTGGTATAACGCGGGAAATCGGAATTATTTTTTATGGTCGAAGGGAAATAACTCGTATAATGTAAAGAGGAAATTATTTTCTGTAATAAATATAATCTGAAAATAATTCATTTGTTTCAAAAGTTATGAAAGAAGGGCAAACAATTGTCAACAAAGATAAATCTTGCATTTATTTCCCGTAAATCATTGGTTCATTTTTCCTGTTCATTTTGGATACAAAGAAAATGTGTTCCTTTAGCTAGTTTTTCTTTCTTTTTAAATCATGCTTACAATATCGTATATAACAAACACTGGAAACTATAAGCTACGTCCATTTTCTTATTGAATGATATCAAATACATCGAATGTCCAGATGAAAAATGATTTATTGCCGAATTATTTCGGTACACTTATATTATCTATGTTTTGTCCTGTATATTAAAAGTATGAAGAACAATGAATAAAAAAATCACAAAGAAAAACAACGTATTTACTTTCAAGAGTTATCAAAACGCAAATTTAACACTTGCAAAATCCACGCATTCTTCTAGAAAAAACTCACACAAATATTTAAATGATAACAAATAATAAACCACAAAGTAATGACAAGAGAAACAAAATAGAGAAATCAATGAAATCAATCTAAGTTAAACAAACGGACTGACTCAATAATGGTAAAGAAAGGTACATTTCTCCGATTTCGATTTGCCAAAACTGTTATTTTTTAATGATTTTCCAATCTCTCGAGTAATCTTCTAACCGTCTAACCCCTCCCCCGGGTTTGGAATGTTGACAGCGTTTCTCCATCTGCATTGGTAGCATTTGTGCTACCCTACATGCCGAGCACAAGAAGCACATATCATCGCTGATATTTTATTATTGATATTTCATCGGTTAAGTGTAATAATTAAACTGTTTACAATGTCATGTTTGATAGTATGTTGTTACAGGTATGAATGCATGCATATCAAATACAACAGTGTAACGCTGACGCAAAATGTTCATGATTGTATACACACAGAGTTAACAAAACACATTTTTCTTTCTCGAATTCATTTTTCTCGTCTGTCTTCAAGCGTTTATATTGCAATTCCGTCTTTGCGTATTGCAGAGTTATCTCTCTCGTGAGCAGGTATTGATTGTTACGTCATTGGTTTGTGTGAGAAAACTACGTCGTTTCCTCAAAAATTGATGACGATTCTTTCACAAACAAATGACGTAACAATCAATATCTGCTCACAAGAGAAGATAACTCTGCAATACGAAAAGACGGAATATCTGAATAATGTAAGTAACATACGATCTCTTTACATTAGTAGTGTTATAAATAAATCTCAGACTACTCTTTTTTATGAAATTATTCAAGCAAGCGACTGTATTGGAAAACAAAGATCATTTGTAAACCTTTTCACGGAGGACTAAATTATGACTTTTATTTCCAGATTACCGTGTCCTTTCACCGTAAAATTTATTTCATGTTTAATTCTGTAATACTTTTCTGTATGTTAACTCATTTAAACAAACAAAACACTACCACGATCAACACAACAACAACACTTTTTTGTTGGGGGGACGGGGGGGGGGACTTATAAACATCATTATTTTAATTGAAAATCTATATACCATCAACCTAAAAAAAAGACTCTGGTCTAGTAACGCTAAATCATCACACCCAGAACACTGTTGTTGATTATATTTTGTTTGTTTGACGTTTAATTATTTCTCATAAAAGTGCCGCGAAAAAAGGAATTGATTCCCTTTCAGAAATAATTTATCAACGCCTATACCTAGTTATGCTAGAAAACATGTTCCAATACGTAGTTACGTTTTTTGAAAGCGGTATGGGGATCCTTAATTTAATAGATACACTAATAGGTCTAGTGCCTCAGAGATCTAAATTCTAAATGGAGGGGGCATGCCCCCGGCAGTCTCACCTACAGGTGCTTCGCGCTTTCGGTCGAGCATAGACTGGCTAGCAGCCCCTAAGTTTTTATGAAGAATTTCTCAACTTGTTTTAATCAGACATCTATGTGATCAAAATTATAAGAGTTATTTTTTTCTAAATAATTAAATATCTATACAGAGACATATAAAGTAGTAGATACGTCTCTGATCTGTATAATATTAGAGACGGGGTCAGTCTTGCCCGATCTGTATACACTACACAGACATAACTTTAAAAAAAAATGACCCACGTTTCATCGTTTTATTTATGCTGATTTTATACAAGATGATCAGATACACACATGAAAACTGAAATATTATTGTGAAACATACTGTAGCTTGATTTCCGGAATTAATCAACGGGGACCATAAAGTTTGTTATAATTACTCAAACGTCTCGTTGATGATGATGATCACACTTCAAAAAGATGGCGGCAGAAAAGAAAAAAGCTCATAGCAGATTCTTGTTCACCGACGACAACGGAGAACCCCTTATATTTTACATGCGGCCATGTGCCCAAAAAGTGACACTTAAACCTTTAGTAGAGGTAGTTATAAATCAGTCTTTCGTTTTAATTAATTACATCACAATAACACTAAAATATCGGACAAAATTTGATGAAGGACCCCACTAAGCTTCTCTAACATTGTTATCTGTACAGTACTGTATATATCTGTTTGATTCTGAGCGTTGTTCAATTTTGAAGGTTGGTCGTCGGACTGCTTGCTCCACTTAATCTTGCATTTGTTGCCTATCAGGTCTTTTGATGGGATGAGTACATTTCCCAATTTCATTTTGAATGCACTTTTAGGTTTTTTTCAAATCTACTGTAGAGCCACCATTTCCACTGGTTTCGGGTCGTTTCGCCCAAAATCCCGTTTGCCCCGGGTCGTTTCGTACTACGTTGAAAGAAACATTTTTAGTCCTGTTTAGTTGTGTATGGCTAATACAGTCTCATTTGAAATCTTCCTAATTTTTTTAGTTTTTTGTTGTTGTTATAAGACTCGTTAGATTCATTGTAGTCGACCAGATTTCTGCACATACAATCACGGAATGCTATCTTAGTCACCAGATATGATTGTGGATACTGTGACCAAACTTCCTCAAACACACTCACCACGAAATTTCACCCATCGTTTCAGACATTTTCAACAGCTCACTTCAAACAGGCCATGTCCTTGACAGCTCATTTAATTTGATGCTTTAAAAAGAAAAAGGTGCCAAAAACAACCCACAAAACTACCCCCCCCCCCCCCATCTCTTACATGTATACTTAGTAAAATCTTTGAACACATCCTGGTATCAAACATTATGTCACAATGTCACATCGAGATAGTCATAACCTTCTCACCCCTTTCCAGCAAAACTATCGAGCCAAACACAGTTGTGAATCCCAACTTGTTACCTTCACTACTGACATCTAAAATAACCTAGCTGATGGGAAACAAACTGATATAGCCGTTATGGATTTTTCAAAAGCCTTTGATAAAGTGGACCACCAAAGACTTATTTTCAAACTTTCTTGTTTCGGCATATTAACTGGATGAAACATTTCCTAGATAGTCGTAGCCAAAAAGTGCTTGTAGAAAATAACGAATCTAATGTCTGTTCAGTTCTGTCAGGTGTGCCCCAAGGTTTGGTTCTGGGCCCGACTGTTTTTGATGTTTATTAATGACTTACCAATTTCAATTAAAAGTCATGTCTGCCATTTTGCTAACGACACCACCATTTATATCGCCATCTCCTCTGAATCAGACTTACAAACTCTACAAAAAGACCTACAACTACTAAACTGGGAAAAGAAGTGGTTGATGGACTTCAACACTGATAAATGCGAAACTATTGGTCTCATGCAAAAGAAACCCTGTCATTCACAAATACCTGCTACACGGAAAAGAATTAAAACACACAAACTTAGCAAGGTATTTAGGCCTAAGCATCTCATCTGACTTTTTACAGAATTCACATATCACCAACATCACAAGCAAAGCAGAAATTAAAAACACCCTCAGATTTATCCGCAGAAATGTAAAAACAAACAATATCAACACAAAGAACTTGCATACAAGACATATATGTGCCCTCAACTGGAATACTGCAGTACAATATGGGACCCATGGCAAAAACATTATCAAAATCAGATTGAAACAATTCAGAGAAGAGCTGCTAGGTATGTCCTTAACAATTACAATTGCACAGACAGTGTAACAAACATGTAAAAACCACTGATTGGCCAACCCTCCACACACGCAGAAACCTTTACTCATTATTCTTGCTTTATAAAACCATTCACGGCCTAGTAGCCATTAAAAAAGACAATTCCTGATTCCCTCCCGAAATCATAAATATGTAATTCCACATTCTGTATCTAACTACCATTCTCAATCCTTCTTTCCACGTTCCATTCGCCTCTGGAACATGTTGCCCCCCGCCATTGCACTCAGCCCTGACCTCAAAACATTCAAGTCAGGACTCCAAACACACAAGCTGTAATGACCCTAAACTTTTTATCTTAAAAAATACACACAAAAAAGAACAACATTTTTTTTAACCACAAACTTTACGTTCTCCTTGACAGTGCGCCTTTGTACTATCTTCTACATATTGAAGGACACAAAGTACACTGTTGATGTTGATGCTAATTAGTCTGTGATATAATGTAGCAGTACACCAGTATTAAATTCTTCTAACAGCACAATTTGTTTGTAAAACACGAAAACATTGTTTTTAATTATTAAAAAACATTTCAACTGATATTTATAACTTTAAATATATATTTATACTAGGGCGAAACAACCTTGGGCGAACTTGGATCTAGAGCAAAACGACCCATAGTGCGAACAGGATTTAGGGCGAAATGACCCGGATCCATTTCCACTCTAGTAAAAGATACACCGTGTAATAGTATTGATTGATCTTGAATCACCAAAGACATTGCATTACAGTGGAACAAATGGAAGCTATTGACAAATAATGTTTGTTTTTATTTTCATTTTTTTTATCCACATATACACAATGCAGTTGGACAATATGTGTGAATGACTTGATGTATGTTTAATGTCCAAAACAGATTTCTCACACAAATTTTATCTTATTTTGTAATCTGAAAATTTTGCAGGATGGAGGTGGAGGGATGACGGTGAAAGTGACAAGAAAATGCATCAAGTAAGTACTCTTGTCGTGGGAGTTTTTTTCTGGTTATATATTTGGGCAAAATGTTGGCCTTATTTTCCCAATAAAAATAGAAATTTTCCTGAAAATCTAATTATTTCTTTCTTTTTACCTATAGGTAAAGATGTAACGATGATGCTGACACATCTAATGTGCTGAAACTAGTTAACGTAATTTTGATTAAATCCAGTAAACTCCGCAGAAAATTGTAATCCAGTAAACTCAGCACAAAGTTGTCATGATCATGTTTACCTATAGATAACTCTTACTACTACAGCCGGACTCGTGTATTCCTTTTGGAATCTGTCTGCTGGGTAACACAGAACTTCGCTGAACTCTTTGCAAGGACATTGGTTCTTCAAACTGTGAGGTTTTCATTGAAAGAAAGAAATTTTTAGTACAGAATTATGCAGCTTATTTCGTTTGTTCATTGCATAATATTTTGTTGTGCAGACTGGCAGTAGAGGCAGACCAAATTTCATCTGATGACTATATATCTTCAAAGTACATACATGATTGTGTGGAAAGTAATAAGCTGTTGGCTATGGACAAGTATAGGTGAGTTCTGATTGTGTGGAAGGAACACATAGTTAACTGTGAACTATAAAGGTAAAAGCTACCAATAAGTTAAATCTATATTATTACCATTGTCATAACTGTAAAAATATAAAAATCACATGTTGTGCAGAATTGTAGTTACTTGAAATTTGAATGTTTGCAAATAGAAATAAATAAATAAAAAAAGACAAGAAAACTGCAAGGGTCAAACTTTGGATATTTACATTGGAAAGCCTCTACTTTACCGATGTTGCCATGCATAAATTATACAAGCACAGCATCATAACGAGTGTCCAATTAATGGTCCGCAAAGTACAATATGATAAATTTGTCAAGGGAAGTAACTCGAAGCCAGATTCTATATAGTAAGGACATTGACACGCTGAATGAAAACCCTCCTTTGCAAATATGATTGATGCAGTGGAACACTGTACCTTAAAATATTTCTGTTAATCTTTTGTTATCTACCATAGTATGAGATGTGCTATCAAATATGCAAACAAAACATATGTAGAGTAGCGATTGGACAAATTCAGACTGTTATACTATCTATCAGCTGACAACTTGAAAAAAGGGCCTTGTCTAAGTACTTGAATGATTTACTTATTATTTAGGTACAACTAATTAGGTTTTTAAGTTACATGAACACCTGTAAATGGTTTCAGTTAAGGATCCCTGCATTATAAAACAATCAACAACACTGTCTTCAGTGTAAAAAAAATCAGCGGGGCTAGACTGAGATTGGAACCCTCAACTTTGGATTAATATGCCATCGCTCTAACCAATTGAACTATAACTGATCAGAGGAAGCATTGTGGCCCAACTGTGCAATAGTCATATCTAGACGGAAGTTAGGGGAAGGTTACTGTATATAGGAGAGATAGAGATCCTTAAAATAGAGAATACATCTGTCTTGTTGTTCATGTAACTTACAAATCCACAAAGTATGGACCCAGGAAAATTGTCAGTTTAAGTAAAATATGCTTAAGTTGAATGAATCACTTATTATTTTAAGGTTACTCCACAGGTGATTTTTTTTCTGTGATGAAACAACTTATAAAGGCTACACAGTTGAAACAAAGATTATCTCCTTGTTTTTAAAATGTATTTTGTTTTTAGGTTAAAACCTAAGAAGCGCAGTGCTGACCTTTCTGTTGACGAGATAGATGTGCCAGATGACCTCAGTCCAGCCTCCAAGATACAGAGAACAGAAGCACTTCCATTAGGGTAAACATAATCAGAATATGATTTAATATTATCTGTGAGAAAGAAGATATAGAATTATATAATTATCTTAAATCATCTGGCTGACAACTGCATGTCATTGTCAAGTTTATCATCAATCCTTTGAAAATAAATGCCTCAAGAACAACTGAAACAATTTTTGATACAAAGCATCCTTGGGCCAAGTGGTTTCTGCTTAATGTAAAAGAAGGTGGTAGTTGGTAAGTTCCACTGTAGTGATTATTTTAGGATGAATTTGGGGATGGTATAAGGCTCCCCTGCCCTAGATAAATTCTGATGTATTTTCCGCTTATCATTGCAAAAATCACTTTATTTCACCAAATTCATGTCTTTTGTGTGTGATGTTCCCGAAGTCACAAGGCACAGGCCCATGTAGAAAAGAGGTAGACCACTCACTGTACTGGGAACAGACAAGTGTGTCTTAAATTGTAAGTAAGAGTTGTTTTTCTGAAAGATTACTTCTTAAAAATAGCTTGAGATATTTATCATTCGTTGATGATACATCTTGTGTTTGTAGACGCTCCAGATATTCCTTGCAAGATGACCTGGCTATTCTGAAGCACTTTGAGAAGAACAGAGAACTTGCTTCCATGATCAACGGCCTGAAGATCTGGAAAGATATGAGTTCACTCAAGGTTGGTTTAACAATTTTATCCAGAGATTCTACTGAGTCAGCCCAATGGAGGCTGCAGGAGAAACCCCTGTAGATTTTCGCTCTTGTATACAAATGAAAACAAAATATAGGTCATATGACTCTATCATATGTAGGTATGTTGGATAGAAATCTCCCACACGAGGGTGCAGAATTTGGGACAAAAACTGAAGTTTGCCAAGGTTTTGAGATCAAATTATGTACTGGAGGGGGGGGGGGATTTTGTGATGTTACTGCAGTTTTAATCTTAAAGAATGCAGATATTGAAGATTAATTGGTAGTTGGAACCACGATAATAGAGTCTCAGCGTCTTTGTTTTCACCATATGAACAAATACTTGTATGGAAATCAGTTCCACAAAAAATGGAATCAGTTGATTTTCTTGATGATATATATTTTGACTTGATACTTATTAATTTAATTCCAGGTGACTGAACATTCAGCCGAGTCAATGAAGGACAGATTTAAGAAGCGAATTCTGCCTATCATAGATTCATACCATGTTTCCAGTAGTGTCAAATTTTTATTGACAAAGAAAACAAAATATCTTGCAGGTACCAATTCAAACAATTTTGATATTTTTCAGTTGATCAAATATTTCAAATGCAAATTTGAATGATATCTTTTGCATGAAGGTGAACTGAATGAATATTTACAAAAGTTATCAAGTAAATATCATAATAATATCGGTGAAAGTACAACGAAGTCTAGCAAAACATATTATGGAATAAATCGCAATGATATGTTTTATAACATGTGTCAGAAGGTATTGCAATCTTGGCTTAATTAAGTGGGGTTTTTTCCTTACAGTAATACAGCTTTGTCTCTGAAATCAATTATCATATTTAGATGTAGTTTGATAGTGTGCTACTTGCATCATAAGTGAATATTTAAGAAAGTCTGCATGTGGTCACAGGTACCAACGATGCATTGAGATTTGACATTACAATCTGACTAATAGTAAATACAGAGATTTAAAAGTTAGAATGTCGAGAAATTAATTAACTAAAAAAGTGTCTCCTTGCACCCTGCCCCCTAGCCTAGCCCTCATGTAAAACTCATGCTTTTGTTTAGAAAAAAAATTGTTTGCTTTGTTTCTTTTTAAATAGGCTGTATTGTTGTCAAGCTTTTAACACTTGAGGGGTAGGTTGTCCACATACTGGTCATTACTGGACAAGGTTTCAGGTACTCCCTTCCCTGTTGTCTAGTATACTGGACACGACTACAGGTACTCCCTTCCCTGTTGTCTAGTATACTGGACAAGACTACAGGTACTCCCTTCTCTGTTGTCTAGTATACTGGACAAGGTTTCAGGTACTCCCTTCCCTGCTGTCTAGTATACTGGACAAGACTACAGGTACTCCCTTCCCTGTTGTCTAGTATACTGGACAAGACTACAGGTACTCCCTTCCCTGTTGTCTAGTATACTGGACAAGACTACAGGTACTCCCTTCCCTGTTGTCTAGTATACTGGACAAGACTACAGGTACTCCCTTCCCTGTTGTCTAGTATACTGGACAAGACTACAGGTACTCCCTTCCCTGTTGTCTAGTATACTGGACAAGACTACAGGTACTCCCTTCCCTGTTGTCTAGTATACTGGACAAGACTACAGGTACTCCCTTCCCTGTTGTCTAGTATACTGGACAAGACTACAGGTACTCCCTTCCCTGTTGTCTAGTATACTGGACAAGACTACAGGTACTCCCTTCCCTGTTGTCTAGTATACTGGACAAGACTACAGGTACTCCCTTCCCTGTTGTCTAGTATACTGGACAAGACTACAGGTACTCCCTTCCCTGTTGTCTAGTATACTGGACAAGACTACAGGTACTCCCTTCCCTGTTGTCTAGTATACTGGACAAGACTACAGGTACTCCCTTCCCTGTTGTCTAGTATACTGGACAAGACTACAGGTACTCCCTTCCCTGTTGTCTAGTATACTGGACAAGACTACAGGTACTCCCTTCCCTGTTGTCTAGTATACTGGACAAGACTACAGGTACTCCCTTCCCTGTTGTCTAGTATACTGGACAAGACTACAGGTACTCCCTTCCCTGTTGTCTAGTATACTGGACAAGACTACAGGTACTCCCTTCCCTGTTGTCTAGTATACTGGACAAGACTACAGGTACTCCCTTCCCTGTTGTCTAGTATACTGGACAAGACTACAGGTACTCCCTTCCCTGTTGTCTAGTATACTGGACAAGACTACAGGTACTCCCTTCCCTGTTGTCTAGTATACTGGACAAGACTACAGGTACTCCCTTCCCTGTTGTCTAGTATACTGGACAAGACTACAGGTACTCCCTTCCCTGTTGTCTAGTATACTGGACAAGACTACAGGTACTCCCTTCCCTGTTGTCTAGTATACTGGACAAGACTACAGGTACTCCCTTCCCTGTTGTCTAGTATACTGGACAAGACTACAGGTACTCCCTTCCCTGTTGTCTAGTATACTGGACAAGACTACAGGTACTCCCTTCCCTGTTGTCTAGATACTGAACAAGACTACAGGTACTTCCTTCTCTGTTGTCTAGATACTGAACAAGACTACAGGTACTCCCTTCCCTGTTGTCTAGATACTAGACAAGACTACAGGTACTTCCTTCTCTGTTGTCTAGATACTGAACAAGCCTACAGGTACTCCCTTCCCCGTTGTCTAGATACTAGACAAGACTACAGGTACTTCCTTCTCTGTTGTCTAGATACTGAACAAGCCTACAGGTACTCCCTTCCCCGTTGTCTAGATACTAGACAAGACTACAGGTACTTCCTTCTCTGTTGTCTCGATACTGAACAAGACTACAGGTACTCCCTTCTCTGTTGTCTAGATACTGAACAAGACTACAGGTCCTCCCTTCCCTGTTGTCTAGATACTGAACAAGACTACAGGTCCTCCCTTCCCTGTTGTCTAGATACTGAACAAGACTACAGGTCCTCCCTTCCCTGTTGTCTAGATACTGAACAAGCCTACAGGTACTCCCTTCTCTGTTGTCTAGATACTGAACAAGACTGCAGGTACTCCCTTCCCTGTTGTCTAGTATACTGGACACGACTACAGGTACTCCCTTCCCTGTTGTCTAGATACTAGACAAGACTACAGGTACTTCCTTTCCTGTTGTCTAGTATATTGGACAAGACTACAGGTACTCCCTTCCCTGTTGTCTAGTATACTAGACAAGACTACAGGTACTCCCTTCCCTGTTGTCTAGATACTGAACAAGACTACAGGTACTCCCTTCCCTGTTGTCTAGATACTGACCAAGACTGCAGGTACTCCCTTCCCTGTTGTCTAGTACACTGGACAAGACTACAGGTACTCCCTTCTCTGTTGTCTAGATACTGAACAAGACTGCAGGTACTCCCTTCCCTGTTGTCTAGATACTGAACAAGATTGCAGGTACTCCCTTCCCTGTTGTCTAGATACTGAACAAGACTACAGGTACTCCCTTCTCTGTTGTCTATTATACTTGACAATACTACAGGTACTTCCTTCCCTATTGTCTAGTATACTGAACAAGACTAAGATACTGAACAAGACTACAGGTACTCCCTTCTCTGTTGTCTAGTATACTGGACAAGACTACAGGTACTTCCTTCCCTATTGTCTAGTATACTGAACAAGACTACAGGTACTCCCTTCCCTGTTGTCTAGTATACTGGACAAGACTACAGGTAATCCCTTTCCTGTTGTCTAGAAACTAGACAAGACTGCAGGTACTCTAAAAAATAAATGGTACTGATTGGCCATTTCAGGCAAAGAAATATTGGTTCCTATATATATCATGAAAAACCCCATAGTACGCATAATAGTTGAGTATAGATAATATAAAAAACAATTCATGTAAGTTTAAGTAAATTATAAAAGATTTTTTGAAATAATCTTGGAAATAATATGTTTTCTATTGCAAGAGTTAAAAAAAAAAATTGTTTAAAATTTGTATTTTAATCATTAATACCACAATTATTTAAATGTTAATTCTGTGAATGAAAACAGCTTCATATTTATAAAGTAGTTTTTGTCAGACCTGAAAATTCAAATTTCTTTGCACAGATTCAGATCACCTGATAAAAGAAAAAACACAGAAGTCTGCTCCACAAACTACTCCTAAGAAAAGATTGACTTTGAGTGACAATACAGATTCATTTGACCAATTTCTGTTGGATAGCATCGCCAATTCTCCAAAAAAGGGAAGTAACCCACCCCGAACACTACAGGTGGTGTTAAAAGATGTGATCAGTCCGAAATCAGGTAAAGGAAAGGCCTCACCTATAAAAGAAACGGTTCATGTATCCCCGTCAAAAAACAATTCAAAAGAAAATAAGGAAGCCACAAAAGAATGGCAATCGAAACAAAAACCAGCACAACATCATGACATGTTTAGTGATAAAACTGAGTCAACAAAACCAGGGTTAAAAAAACCAGCACAACATCATGACATGTTTAGTGATAAAACTGAGTCAACAAAACCAGGGTTAAAAAAAACATCACAAACATCCAACTTGCCAAAAGTCCAGTCTCCAAGGACAACAAAGGAAATTGATCAACACGGAGGGCATGCTCTAAGGAAAAGAAAGTTGACCGATACCAAGCATTCGAATGACACCGCATCACAGCTAAATAAGAATGCATCTAATGTTAGACTAAAGAAAAAACCTAAAACAGACATCAATCAACCCAGCATGGTAAGTTGGTTTAAAGTTATCTGCTTCTACTATGGAATAGTGCATTTTGAAGTAGTTTCTTGTAAATTGTCGATTCAAATATGTACAAGTAATGATTTTAGAGATCCTTCTTCAAATCAAGTACCATATTTATCAAGCAATCGGCCCATACCTTGTTTAAAAACCCATCCATATCTATTGTAGTCAAAAGATAAAAGTTATTACATTGTCCAATAATAAGCCCATGCCTGGTAATAAGCCCATCCATATATATCTATTGCAGTTCAATATGATGTCAACAAATACTTTTTCGTTTTCCTGTAATACATGTAAGCACATCTGGCTATTTTGGGTCGGAGCCCCTGGGAGTATTGGAGGCTAAATGCAGTACAAAAAATAATATTTAAAGAACATGGGAAAAAATCCTATATTTATATGATACTTGTGGAGTTTATTATAGATTGTGAATTATAAATTCTTTGTTTAGATATAGAGATGAACAATAATATCTGAATGTCAGGTAATCTATTGAACTCATTCACCCCTGAAAACACATTTGAACTCTGGGATCCTCTTATTCAAAGGTTGGAATCGTTCATTAAGAAATGTCAGGGGTAAATGAGTTAAAGACCCATTGGACCTCTTAATGTTATTGCAGATGGAATCACAGTCAGATAACAGCTTTAAAAAGAAAACACCCCCAGGTTTAACAAGGAAAAACATTTTAGATTCGAATGGACCTGATTCTACTCCTGATAAAGGTGAGATCACAATTATTGGTGTTGGCTAACAGAGCTGAGGATACACTTTGTTCTATAGCTAACAGAGCTGAGGATACACTTTGTTCTATCGCTAACAGAGCTGAGGATACACTTTGTTCTATAGCTAACAGAGCTGAGGATACACTTTGTTCTATCGCTAACAGAGCTGAGGATACACTTTGTTCTATAGCTAACAGAGCTGAGGATACACTTTGTTCTATCGCTAACAGAGCTGAGGATACACTTTGTTCTATAGCTAACAGAGCTGAGGATACACTTTGTTCTATCGCTAACAGAGCTGAGGATACACTTTGTTCTATAGCTAACAGAGCTGAGGATACACTTTGTTCTATCGCTAACAGAGCTGAGGATACACTTTGTTCTATAGCTAACAGAGCTGAGGATACACTTTGTTCTATCGCTAACAGAGCTGAGGATACACTTTGTTCTATAGCTAACAGAGCTGAGGATACACTTTGTTCTATCGCTAACAGAGCTGAGGATACACTTTGTTCTATTGCTAACAGAGCTTAGGATACACTTTGTTCTATCTCTAACAGAGCTTAGGATACACTTTGTTCTATAGCTAACAGAGCTAAAGATACACTTTGTTCTATTGCTAACAGAGCTATGGATACACTTTGTTCTATTGCTAACAGAGCTGAGAATACACTTTGTTCTATTACTAACAGAGCTGAGGATACACTTTGTTCTATAGCTAACAGAGCTGAGGAAACACTTTGTTCTATTTCTAACGGAGCTAAGGATACACTTTGTTCTATCGCTTACAGAGCTGATGATACACTTTGTTCTATCGCTTACAGAGCTGAGGATACACTTTGTTCTATTGCTAACAGAGCTTAGGATACACTTTGTTCTATAGCTAACAGAGCTAAGGATACACTTTGTTCTATAGCGAACAGAGCTGAGGAAACACTTTGTTCTATTTCTAACGGAGCTAAGGATACTCTTTGTTCTATCGCTTACAGATCTGAGGATACTCTTTGTTCTATCGCTTACAGATCTGAGGATACTCTTTGTTCTATCGCTTACAGATCTGAGGATACTCTTTGTTCTATCGCTTACAGAGCGGATGATACACTTTGTTCTATAGCTAACAGAGCTAAGGATACACTTTGTTCTATCGCTTACAGAGCTGAGGATACACTTTGTTCTATAGCTAACAGAGCTAAGGATACACTTTGTTCTATCGCTTACAGAGCTGAGGATACACTTTGTTCTATAGCTAACAGAGCTAAGGATACACTTTGTTCTATAGCTAACAGAGCTTAGGATACACTTTGTTCTATAGGTAAAGGAGTTTGGGAACAGCTTGTTATAACACATGGCAACATTTCTTAATGTCAGTTAAGTTCAATAAAAATGTTTAATTGTTTAGGACAATAACATTTCCTCACACAAACATATCCACTTTTACAGTAGGTTGATAAGGACCATAGTTCCAATCTCTCATAGGTATCATAAAGGAGGACAAAGTTCTGGTTTGTAGTTAGCTGGATCAGAGCTGATTGCTGAGTGATTACTCCAAGCTGTACGTCTAGATGAAAGTTTTCTGTTAAAAGAATTTATCATCATTAGTCCTCTCTTAGTATTGTACAAGACTGCTATAAATCTAATATTACTGTATTGTAGATGATTCTAATATTGGAAAGCTGCCTGATAATTTAGGTGATAAATCAAAAATATTTCGTATGAAGTAAATTAATATATTCATTTGTTTCAGCTAAACGGCTGAATTATGTAATGGAGAAATTCTTAGAGTCCCAAGATGGTAAGATTTTCCAACTGCAATATTTTGGTAAGAACATTTTCCTAGCTACATATTAAGTTGAAACAAACATTCAACAATCGCAAATTTGGGAATAGTAAAAAGTTTTCAAAGCAGGCTGAAAATACAAGTGAATGCTGGTGTTATTTTGTGTTGACTACCATCAAAGAGATTTATACATGATTACTAGGAAAAAGATTATTACAAATTCTTTCTTGGAACAATCTCATCTGAAATCTCATAAGTCCAAAAGTATTTTGGAAGCCAGAAAATATTTTCTGGAACAGGTGCCATTACAATCATCTTTATGATATCTGGATAGGTAACCTTTGGGTTTAAGTTTTTTGCAATAAGTTAAACAAGTTATTGAGTGAATTTAGTGAAATGAACTACCCAGCCAATGAATACAGACACAATGTAATAACAAGTATGACAAATTCATACAGTATACAGTAGAGGGTTGTGGCCATGGGGGATATTTTTGTTAAATGGCTAACCCCTGTATAATGATATGTAAAAAAAAGATAAAAATAAAACTGTACTAAAATTGGTATAAGCATGATGAAGTGGGCTATGTGAGCTTCACATTTGTAAAAAAGAAAGAAGATTTCTTTGGTTTGAGAATAAAATTTTGGCCATCATCCGAAAGGGTGCGTACACATGAAAAGCTAGCTTTACAGGAGGTAAAATTTTGACAACAGCACACGACGCAAAATTGCAAAAAATCAAGTTTTACAACTTTACTGGGACCCAGATAATTCTGCAACCAGGTAGGTAATCTTTAATTTCAGACAGAGCTTAGGAAAAAAATTACTAGTTACGGGGGTCAAATTTTGGGTTAAAAATAGCAATTTTTGCCATTTTTTGGTAATTTTTGATGTGATAACCATGGTTTTCACACAAGTGACATACATAGAAAAAAGAGGTTTATACACTTATCAGTACTTTATATGTATTGTAAATGTAATGCAGTTTACAAATATATATACATGTATACATGTTGTGTGTAGGGTAAATCCGCTGTGTTTAGATTTCCTCGACATGTGCCTTGTTTATCAGAGTCGGGCCATTTCTACTGTACACTGCTACCAATGTAATAACAAGTATGACAAATTCATACAGACACAATGTAATAACAGGTATCACAAATTCATACAGACACAATGTAATAACACGTATCTCAAATTCATACAGACACAATGTAATAACAAGTATCACAAATTCATACAGACAATGTAATAACACATATCACAAATTCATACAGACACAATGTAATAACACGTATCACAAATTCATACAGACACAATGTAATAACAAGTATCACAAATTCATACAGACACAATGTAATAACATGTATCTCAAATTCATACAGACACAATGTAATAACACGTATCTCAAATTCAAACAGACACAATGTAATAACACGTATCACAAATTCATACAGACACAATGTAATAACATGTATCTCAAATTAATACAGACACAATGTAATAGCACGTATCTCAAATTCATACAGACACAATGTAATAACACATATCTCAAATTCATACAGACACAATGTAATAACAAGTATCACAAATTCATACAGACACAATGTAATAACACGTATCTCAAATTCAAACAGACACAATGTAATAACAAGTATCTCAAATTCATACAGACACAATGTAATAACAAGTATCACAAATTCATACAGACACAATGTAATAACACATATCTCAAATTCATACAGACACAATGTAATAACACGTATCTCAAATTCAAACAAACACAATGTAATAACACGTATCTCAAATTCATACTGACGCAATGTAATAACAAGTATCACAAATTCATACAGACACAATGTAATAACAAGTATGGCAAATTCATTAACAGTTTGTAGAAGCTTGTTTCATTAAAAATTATACAAATGAGAAATGCATGATGAGAGACAAATACGAGAAGGGATATGGTTGCCCATTATGTATTAGAGGCAGAGACATTAGCTGTCAACACCAAGCATATCCGGTTTCTGTTTTAAAATCTACAATTTCTAGCATAAATTTTAAATAGGCATTTAAAAACTTGTTTTAGAATTTTAACAAACTTACAGTCACTAGCCATCACATAGCTGTTAATTCAAAATAACATCAGCCCCAGAATCTTAGAGCATCTGATGGCATCTGAACCCAAGTTTTCTGGTTCACATATAGTTTTGACTCTTTCTGTCGGAATCAACTTGAATGAAATGTCTCAAACAGAGTCCTAAATAATTGTATAAAAAGTGTTGATCTCTGACAACTCTTGGTTGATCTCCGACAACTCTTGGTTGATCTCTGACAACTCTTGGTTGATCTTACACTTACCATGTCAAATTAATTGTTGCTGTTTATTGTATAATGTAAATGGCGTAAAGTTAAATAATAATAAAAAAAACTACAACAAATAAAGAAGTTAAGAATATCTAAATATTTACGTTAAATGTTAAATTTCAGATGAGGTCACTCCACCAGAGCATTTTGTCCATGACTCAGAGAAATTAAACAGTGACGATGACGAGGATGGAGAGAAAAATGTGCAGGAGGATGAGATTGAAGACACGATCGGCTTAGTTCAGGTAAGTTCTGTATACAGGGAAATGCAATTTAATGGAGAAAGGCGAAAGTTTGACTGGGCGATACATTTCCTGGTATACAGTATTAGATGGTAATCCGATTGCTGTTTGCATTCTCACAACAGCCTTAGTCATATAAAGATGATGTCATGACACAAATTTTCCTTTATAACGCTGCTAGTCCTTGAATCTTTCTCCTTCAGTACAATTGGAGGGATTTTAACCAAATGAGCTAGGTGTAACGGCTATGGGATGTAAGGTACAGGTGATGAAGGAGATAAGTCATACTCAATCTGTGTCTCTGTTAACAGAAGCTGATGAAGCAATATCGTCTGACAGCTAAGCAGGTACTACATGCCTTCTACATCAATAATGGCCGCTGTGAGGACACTGTCAGCTGGATAGAGACCGGCCTCGACACAGCAGGTACACATTAGATTGAGGATTAATAGAGTCTATCGTATGTAGATATGTGGGATATGGACATAGAACCTGTGGTTGTATAATTTCGGTCACAACTGAGGCTTTGTCAAGGTTCTGGGCCCTGATTCTACACCTAACAGTAGAATTTCCCTATCTCAGCCTATCCCAATTTTCTGCCACCTCTTACGAAGGAAGTTTGTATATACCAACGACATCGCGAATGCAACAACAAATTTAGTAGATTTTCTAGATACTGTACCAATCAATCAAAACACTCTGTTCGTTGGGGTTTAACGTCCGCGCAACACCCAAGGTCATAAGAGGACAGTCCCAAAACATTTTTGAAAGGGCAGGAAAAGAAATTGTATACTGATGATGTTTTTTTAAAATTGAAAGAGTTTTGAAAACCATGAGGTGATATCAGATTCAGTTATATATACTACATTTTGTATGTCTATAGATATGCTTAATCTCTTCCCCATATTACATAATATTTCAAGCATGACCTTGACCCTTTAATGTGATGTACAATGGCTCGTGCACTGCAGGTTTACCAGCCTGGGATCACCGTGACGACAGGAGGCTGAGGTCTGACGATTGGAATGCTTTAGAAACACTCAAGGAAAAGTATGGTTTAAAAAGAGTCAATAATAGACTGCTATTTTTGGAGGGACTGTGACAGTTGAAAAACCAGCCTGAGCACCAATCACCAATAAGCTGTTCCTGGGGAAGTGGAGGTACATGACTGGGAAGTTTTTACCAATTGCCTTGGACTCCGTCTTCGAAATCCACAAATTCCACTCTTTATATATCTTCTCTGCTTCCCTGGAATCTGTCATTACAAAATTGAAGGCTCATGGTACGCTTTTTGATCAGTTTCAGGTATAAAAACTTTACCAATCACGAGGCTGATTGATACCTGTCCTTTGATGATGACGGGAGCTACACCTGTCGATTTTACCGTTACACTACTGCAGGGCCTTTTGATGTACGTCAAAATATCGGACCATTTTTTCTTGTATCACTGTCACAAGGTGTTGCATAAAGAGCATTCAGTTTTGCCATGACATTATCCAGGGGTGCAGAAAAGAGGTGTGGTGTATCGTTAGCAGAACCTTTAAATGTGTAGTGTAATTACGACACACACCAGAGATGCAAATTAATTATCTCAACTTAATAAACAAATGTTATGATTTAAAAAAAATCAAATGTTACTACTATTTGAACAGTTGAATACCTACTCTTGCTTGAAATAGGGGGAAACATACAGTAAAAGTGAAAAAAATCAGCGTGGGAATGCTCACATAAATTTGATATATAATTTATTTAGCATAACAGATTTCAGAACGCGAAAAAATTAAAGAGTCGGAACACACACATTTCACGCGAGAATTTCCACTTTTAAAGTAGTTTTCATGTCATTTGTACGTGACAGCTTGTCTGTATACAACTTCACCAGTTTGTGTCCAGGCCAAAGTCCACTTGTATTTTCATACAAGTTGACCTAACTTAATGTGCAATTACATATATATAGTGAAGGTGTGTCACACATAAAAACCAAGTTACAGTAAGTATAATGATCTATATTTTGTAATGCATTGAACAATAAATAAAATTTGTTTCTGAACAATTATTTCCTTGTTTTTTCTTGAAGTTCACCGTAACTCCTTTGACTGTCATATCTTGGAATGAAAGTTGTGCATCATAAATATACTCAGCAAAATAAGAAATGAACATGTTACCTTGTAGAACACCAAAATATGGTTTATTATAATTATTATAAAATCATGTTTTAGTTGTTAGTGTGTTTGGTAGAATTATTTTTCCAATAAGCTGTGTTGTAAAATATATCAGTCGGGCGTCAAATTTGGAGAATTTACATATCAAATTTGAGAATGATACCTCCATTCTGAGAAATAGCAATGACAAGAATTGTTTAAGGACAGAGGACTTAAAGCTTGCCTCTGACAAAGGGCGATTTGAATAGCCCACTTTGGTTGTGGGCTAAAAAATTCTTTAAAATGTATGATGAAGAGATGATGTTCTGGACAAGAAAAGCGATGTCTGCGCTTCAAATAATAGGAACTGTTTTTAGCTTACCTGGTATCCTCATTTAGTCTGGAGCATCCTTGGGCCATGGGGACTCAATTTTTGAATAAATGGTATGAAGCATACGGTGGGTATGACCCCACTGGGGGCAGAGAGGCGGGGCCCAATAAGGGATGTAGAGGATTGGTTTTAATTTCATTCTTCTTCAGTGGGGATGAAGGTATTTTGACCAAATTTGAACAGTAGCATTATATTTGGAAGGCAAATCAATTTTGAATAAATAGTGGGTGTGGCCCCCCTTGGGGCAGAGGGGTGGGGCCGAATAGGGGAAATAGAGGTAAAACCTTCAAAATCCTTCTCCTACCATGCATAGGGATTAAGGGATTTTATCCTAATTTAGTCTGGAGCTTCCTTGGGCCAAGGGGACTCAGTTTTGGAAGTGAAATCAATTTTGTATAAATGGTGGGCCCTGACTAATCATGTAACCATGTTTTGTCTCGCCGCCACAAAGTTGTGGAAGTGAGACTAAGGAGTTGCTTTTCAGTCGACGGCGGCAGCAGCAACGTCAACATTAAGTTTTTGTGTTTAACTTAGTTTAAGTGCTTAAGACCAACCAAAGTTTGACCATATCATCTCAACCCATGCATGAAATGCTGGATGTGCCTACCTTTCATGGTCCATTGATCACATGACTTTGTCAGCATCTCCATCAACATTAAGTTTTTAGGTCACCTGAGCTTTAGCTCAAGTGACCTATTGCTATCCGTTTTCGTCCGTCGTCGTCCGTCGTCCGTCGTCCGTTAACATTTTACATTTCAAACTTAAAGTCAAGTTCTGCTGGGCCGATTGAACTGAAAGTTGGTAGGAATGATCGCCTCATGGTCCTGACAAAGTGTTGTTATTTTTCGGGTCGATCAGAAATCCAATATGGCCGCCACGGCCGCCATTTTGAAAACCTATTTCAAACTTAAAGTCAAGTTCTGCTGGACCGATTGAACTGAAAGTTGGTAGGAATGATCGCCTCATGGTCCTGACAAAGTGTTGTTATTTTTCGGGTCGATCAGAAATCCAATATGGCCGCCACGGCCGCCATTTTGAAAACCTATTTCAAACTTAAAGTCAAGTTCTGCTGGACCGATTGAACTGAAAGTTGGTAGGAATGATCGCCTCATGGTCCTGACAAAGTGTTGTTATTTTTCGGGTCGATCAGAAATCCAATATGGCCGCCACGGCCGCCATTTTGAAAACCTATTTCAAACTTAAAGTCAAGTTCTGCTGGACCGATTGAACTGAAAGTTGGTAGGAATGATCGCCTCATGGTCCTGACAAAGTGTTGTTATTTTTCGGGTCAATCAGAAATACAATTTGGCTGCCATGGCCGCTATTTTGCTACTAAGTTCTAATAGGCCGATCTCACTTAAAATTGGTCTAGGAATGATCAGCTCATGGTCCTGACAAAGTTAAGTTAACATTATACTATTTTTTACCCAAATTGGTACATATTTCAACAACAAAAATAAATACTATAGACTCAGGTGACCGTTAAGGCCCATGGGCCTCTTGTTGTTTTTTAAGTTAGTTTCTCTGATATGTGCATTAATGGTCAAAGCGGGGCACAGGCGAGACATATCAATCTGAATGGCTTGTTTATTATTTATAAGCTGTACAGCTAGCAGGGTAAACAGGAGAAATCACTAGTTTTTTTAATCAAGGACATAAAATCTGTAAACATAAATTCTGTCAGAACAATATTACACAGATTACAACATTGTACAGATTATTTCATTTCAGTTATGTCTGCTTGTCAACCACCCATCATTTGTATGCCAATATTTTATTTGGATTGAAATTCCGAATCTCCAGCATTTGGAACTCTCCTCCGACTAATCCCTTTGTTAATAAGTTGTCAATAATATATGTTTAAACTAGAAGTTGTTATCCTCTGCTATTGATTTCGTTGCCTGCTTGATGTTTTTGTCTCAGGTTTTCTCACTATGTTACCTTGTTTTTGACATTTTTATCAACACAGTTATTGTTTTCACACAGGATGTTTATCTAAAAGGGCATCCTCGATATCAAATATTTTTTTGGAGGGGGGGGGGGGGGGGAGCACAGGGATTGTACCTTGGATATTTTAGTTGGTTGTATTTTACTATTTCCACTTTTTCTTTGATAAATTATATCCTTGATGTGTTTCATTTTTGCCGTGGTGCGGCGTCCAGCGTTTACTTCTCAATAACCAAAAGGCCCAGGATACTGATATTGGGCCTGTAGCATGCTGGGATGAAGGGCTACCAAGTTTGTTCAACCTAATGTCCTTGTTCGACATACTGTTATTCTGCCTCTAGCTGAAGATTACAAGTGTTAGATGAATACCAAGTGAGCGATGCAGGCCCATTGGGCCTCTTGTAATTTTATTCAACTGATCTGTTAAAAAAGTGTTCTATTTATATAGTATAGTAGTGTCACCTTGTGCAAACATGTTGAATGGCGATGTAACCAAACCATGTATAATAGCAGTCTTTGTTGTACAGGACTTTCGCCTGGTTCTCCAAGAGGACTCAGGACCCCGCCTGGCCACAACCTGCTCATTCAATTCCAATTCTTCATTTGTTCATTGTCTACCAGCTCAAAACTTTGATACTCACCTTATTTCCCTTAACCAGGACCGCCTTTTCCTGTTTATGGGATTAGGTAGGCACCTGGTAGGGAATCTTGAATTCATCTTCCTTCATGCTGGTAATTGCAGCCAAGACAGCCCTAAATGCAATTTGTTTGTTTGATTTTGTTCTATGTAGTATGTGTTTGCTATGCTATGTAAATTATATTATGTGTAGAACAGTGTTGTAATGTAAATACTTAGTGATTTATTTTATAATTCATTCGTAAATTTTTAAAATCTGTGTTTGTTATTGTTTATAAATGGATAGTTTCATGCTAAAATTATGGAAAGTATTTCATCAGTACAGTTGGTTTTACAAAGTAAAAGTAAGTTCAATATAGGTTATGCAGGTGGCTACTTGTGAATTCATGCGAGATTGAGTAAAGTAATGACTCTACAATCGGGTATCATAAATCAAAGTCATTCATTGTTGACATATCGTCATTTATAAGAGTAGAAACAAATTAACCTATAGGATTTATACAGTTTATTTGGTAATACACTGCGATTTCACTCCATTGGGTTATGAAAATTCTACAAACTTACAGTTCTGTAGTCTAATTTGAATAAACAATAAACGAGGATGGCGAGTCTTCCTTGTATTTCTGTTATCAGTTTCATAGCTTTGGCCTACTTTGTTTGAGGATAATATTTAACTGTACAAATAATTTTAATGTGGTTTGATGTTTAATGCCATTCTGGTCTCTGTGGTCATGTAGATAGATGTGGTTTGATGTTTAATAAAAAAAAAATATGACAAATCATTGAAAATAAACCAAAAATCAATTTTGTCAATTTGGAATAAACTGAACTATACCTAACTCTGATGTAAAAACTGCTGGATAATGTGTCCACTTTATAGACTTTATTTATACTTTATATATTTTGCTCCAGGTAAAGCTGCACACTGCAATTTTCTGCTTGTCATGTCAAGTACTTTAGTTTATGTCAGGTATGCATTCCTGGAATGTTCATCACATACTGTTATGCGTACACAAACCTGCAGATGACTTAAATTAACAAGACGCCCAGAGAGGGCCTATATCGCTCACCTGAAAATGTTTAAAATAATTGGTATGAAGTAAAGATATAGCACTCCATGGTAGGTGCTGTAAGTACATACTTCAGTACTTGTGATATAGCAAGACTAAACTTCAAACAGAGCCCCACCCCTATGCCTCAAAGGGGGGGGGGGGGGGGGGGGGGGGTCATGCCCACTGTTTGTTTATACAAAATTGAGTCCCCTTGGCCCAAGGATGCTCCAGACTAAATTAGGATAAAATCCCTTAATCCCAATGGTCGAAGAAAGATTTTAAAGGTTTACCTCTATTTCCCCTATTGGGCCTCTCCCTTCTGCCCCTAGGGGGTCCACACTTGCTGTTTATATGAAATTAAGTCCCTTTTGCCCAAGGATGCTCCAGACTAAATTAGGATAAAATCCCTTAATCCCTATGGTGGAAGAACAATTTTACCTCTATTTCCCCTATTTGGCCCCGCCCTCATGTCCCAGGGGGACCACACCCAACACCCACTGTTTATACAAAATTGGTTTCCCTTTACCCAAGGATGCTCCACACCAAATATGGACCAAATCCTTTCATTCCTACAGAATAAGAAGGATTTTAAAG